CTGCTGCCCATCAAACAAGGTGACATCTCCATCTTCTGTGGTGACAGTTCCATCCTTACCTGGCAGAGTGAGGCTGCAAGTTACAGCCACCAACTGATGCTGCTACACTGCAGCCACCCCACCTCACTCCCACTAGATTCTTCATTAGCAGTTGCAGGAAAAATCCACGATTCTCATTTAGCGGGACCCCACTGGGTTCCAGTGGTACAAGCCCTGCCTGCATTGGGTCGGCACCAGCAGCCCTCTGTGCCGTGGGAAGGGAGACTGTTCTGGAAGTTTTTCCTTTTCTAACTAAAGCTTTTTGATTATTTTCTTTAAAAAGGAAAAACAAAATAAAAAAGCCTGTGCGTGACTCGTGACTCACTGGGATGTGTCAGGTTCTGGATTTGCATCTGCTCGTTCTGGGCTGGCCCATTTCGCCAAGGATTGTCTGTTGCCTTTTCCACTTGCGTAACTGGTCCAGTTCTGTTTCTGGCACAGAGATCGGCAATTCTCTGGCTCTGACTACACCACAGGGAACAGCTCCTCCAAGGAGTCTGCTGGTGAGCTCCCTCTGAGCACTCAGACAATCCAGAGCAAAAGGAGCCCACCAAGCATCACAGAGCATCGCTGCCTTGCTGAGCCGGCTGCAGGCCTCCAGGACCATCTGCAAAGACGTCTCGTCAAAGAGGGCAGGGTGGTGGTGTGAAAACAGTGTGTGCCTTGACAGCAGCCTAGATCCCTCCAGCCTCAAGCCAAAAATATCAGGAGCTCCTGCCGGGGGTCGTCAGAGCAAGGCTGCCACCCATGACCATCGACTCCACCCTGGGAAAGAGCCCAGTAGCTTGTGGCAGAGCTGCAGCTGGATTGCCCCCTGCCCTCAGCCACACTGGGAGCTGGGATGGGCTGGGCCATACTTGGAGCAGGTTGTCCTTCTCATAGTTCTCAAATCAAGACCCTCTGGGGTTGGGTTTCCACCTGCTGCAGGGCTTTGGGGAGGGCAATAGAGAAAGGGGGTGTTAGACCAATGGGGGTGTCTGTGCCTGGTTACCCAGGGCTGGCAATGGCAACCTGACTGCGGCTTGGCTTGTCCTAGAACCTGCTCCTGGCCAGGCTTCCCTTTCTGGTTTGGAGTCAGCCAAAGCCCTAGAGGAGCCTTTCACAAGGCAGGTCCTCTCATGGACCAAACTCCAAAAAGGTGAATGCAGGCCCCAAGCCCTGGCACTGTGGCCCGGGACAGAGATCTGTTCTCCGTACTCTGGCTGAGCCAAATAAAGGACGATGTCTTATACAGGTACTGCCAAGCAGCAAATTAGAGCGTGGAGAGCAGCATGTGCATGGGACAGCCAGGCTGCTCTTCAGCCCTCGCCAGCAGCCCACGCTGGAGGGGGTGTTTTGAGGTGCTTTTGGCTGCATGCCATCCATGCCACATTTCCAACATTGTCTTCATCTCTTTCCTGGGGCAGGGAGCTGCCCAGGCCACAAGGAGAAATCCTCTTCTCCCTGTGCAGTGATTTTGCTGGAAATCACAGCCGGCATAACATGGTTGGGGTTAGGAGAGCAGTTTCCCCAGTGGCTGGCTGCACTCCCCACCGCCACAAGCTGACCATGTTCAAACATCGTTTCTCTTTACATCCCAGTCCTGCTGAGATGCAGTCTGCTGCCTGCGCAGGCAAAGCCACTCCATTGGCCTGCCATCCAGAAAACATGCTCTGGATTGCCTGTATGAGAATTAAACACAAACAGTTTGCAAAACCGCAGCCCTCGAGTGCGAGGCAATGAGCCGAGAGCAATGAGATCCTCCGAGCTGCGCAGGCGAAGCCAAGCCAGCCTGGTACACATGACAAGTGCAGAGGCTCTGGCTCCAAGGAATGTCAGGCACCCTCTCCGTGCAGCCCCTCGCTTTGCTGCTACAGCTGTTTACCAGTCCTGCCTGTGATCCCCACCACAGAGGTGGTGCTGGGCACAAGAGGAGACTGGTGATGCAACCTCTGCTGCAGACCAGCCCCGTTGTCCAGCAGCTTAGCCCAGGGATGCTCTGCTCAGCCCGGGGTCCCCGCAGCGGGACAGAGCCATGCCTCCAGTCTCAACTGCTGCTGCCTCTCTCCCTAAACCTGTGTCTGCCCCTGCATTACACTCACCGTTAGGCACCTCCGATGTCGCCAAAGGTGCTACAACTCATGAAGAGGCAATCTGAAGATTCTGTGGTGACACGCAGCTTCTGCTTGGACCTGGCCATGTTCTCCACGGCCTGGTTGTCCTCCCTGTTTCCACAAAAGGCCATGGGCACCTGCTTTGAGCCAGCTTTCCTCTCCTGACCTTCCCGTCCCCAGGCTGGTCTGCAGGCTGAGAGCCCAGCCTCTCTCGCCTCTGAGTCCTGGCCACTGGAAACATCTGCAAGGAAATAGCTGAAGGTATTGAAAGGGGAGGCAGGAAACGCTCTGAATTATTTTTTTTTCTAAATATAATGACAGTAATGTTGTTCGCAGTGTTAAAAATAGAAATCAAGGGAACCTGCCTTTTTCCTGTTTGATTTCAGCTCTCACTCTCCTGCCTCTGCATTCTGGGAATCTGTGTGAAAATAAACCCAACAAAAAGTATCTCAGCAGCGTGCAAAGCAGAGCCAGATGGGTTTGGCCTTGGCTGCAGCTGCTGTGCAGTGCAGAGAACTCAGGGCTGTGAGCTCCCCGCAGCAGGCAGCTGTGCCCCCACGCTCCGTGCTGTGGTGGGACCATGGCTGACCCCGCTGCTCAGGACCTGATCACTCTCCCCGGGTGTCTCTGGGACTGAGGCCACCCTCCTGCACCCCACGTCCTGGCTTTGGTCACTCTCCTGACTTTCCCAAGCATCTCCATGCAGCAAGTCAGCTCTGAGCAACTGCTACTTCTTGCGCAACTCTTTCTTCCTATGGCTGATAGAGCCCTGCTCAACCTCAGGGCTGGACTTGCCTGTGTGCTGGTGCAAGACATTGTAATGCACTGCCCAGGGAAGTGGTGGAGTCACTGTCCCTGGAGGTGTTTAAGGAAAGGCTGCATGTGGCACTTAGTGCCATGGTCTAGCTGATGTGGTGGTATTGGGACATAGGCTGGACTTGATGATCTCAGAGTTCTTTTCCAGCCTCAATAATTCTGTGCTTCTGTGATTCTGTGTGACTCCCTGCTGGAGATGTTTCTCCAGATGCCAGTGATGGAGCAGGAGCACAACCCTTCACCATGCCCTGCATCTGCCTGTTCCCAGACTTCTCTCCCACGCTCCATCAATGCATCAGGAAGATTTTGCTGCCAATCTTTCATCAGCTCATTAGAGAGCAATACCCATGCTCAGTGCCTCTATCAGGGGCTGATAGATTCAAATCCACTTTGGGGTACTGAGCCAGGGCAGGGCACCCAGGGCTTGAGGGATCAGGATGCAGGAGTCAGCTCCCTATAGGGGGAAAAGAAAAATGCTGGAATGCAGTGAACCGTCCAGAGAGAGTGTCTGAACAGCAACATGCCTTTCATCTAGGAGGCAATACTGCACATCGGGTCAGCACGGCTGCCTGCCTGCTGCAGGTGTTCAGATGAAAAGCTTGGCTCTCATTTTTCAGCAGAGCAAACTGGGGTGTGCGTGTCTTGGGTGGAGGCTGCTGCCTGATTTATTACAGACTCAGCTCTAGGTGCCTCAGGAGAGTAAGTCCTGGCAGAGGATGAGAGGCGTGCGTGAGTACGGATGGATTGCAGCGCACAGAATGCTGCATTGTAGTAAGACTGCCTGGAACGTGCCAAAGCCAGGTGCTGGGAGGATGAATGAGTCCTGTGGCCTGGTTTGCATTCCTTTGTCCTCTCCGTTCCTTTCTAAAGTCAGAGAAGTGGGCAGGTGGGCAGCCCAGGGCTCTCAGTCTGTCTTTGAAAGCCACGAGGCAGACAAGGGCCATCTGGGAGCGCGGCTGGCACTGGCCTGGCAGAGCACACTAGGCGTGCTGGCAGTGCCACCCTCTGTGTGGCATCCTTCGAAAGGCTGACCTTTGCAAGGAGTGGTTTTCCACAGGGTGACAACTTACCAGGTTGACCTCAGGCTGGTCTTTCAAAAATCTTCAATTAGCTGGAAATCAGGTGTTTAAAATGTCATCAGACTGTCACAAGTCACTGTCTGGGCCATTTTTGTATCGCAGAGCCAGTTCTGCATGTCACTGCAAAGTCTGCACTTGAACCTGACATGATGTGATTTTAAAAACGCTTCCACAAGCAGCTTCCCTGAGTTTCCTCCTGCCCCCTAGCTGCTTTGCCAGCCCTGGCATAGCCCTGGCCCCTGGTAGCCAGTACACCTCCTCTGCAGCTTTTCAGCTGCCTCCTCCCTGCCAGGTGTTCTTGGTCACTCTAGCGCCAGGTCTCTTTGCTATCAATGATTTTTCAGATCTTTCAGCAGCAGTGTGTCGGTGGTATTGAAAGGTGACGCTGATTTGCAGGGTGTTACAATGCCCTGGGCTGGTGAATTATGCCCGTCTGCCAGCAGGACACCCCTGCTGATCGCCTTTCATTGGGGGCTCGCTGACTCTGCATTTGGAGCCCATTTGTGATGGGAATGGTACTCCGGCCCCACCTGCTGCTCATCAGCAACCTGTCACAGCATTAACCAGGACTGAACGAGAACAGTTGATAGAGGACGGACATACAGCTGCGGGGACTGACAGCCCGTCCCTGCGGGCTCCTCCCCTGCTCAAGGCATTGCACCTGCACAGCCCCTCGGTAAGGCACGGCCAGGTGACTGCTCCTGCTTTACGGGGGGGAGTTAACCCGCCGGGACTCCCCAGGCTTTCCCCTCTGTTGGTCCTGCTGCTGACCTGCAAGATGCCTCATCCACAACCGATGTCTTTGGGGATGTGACAGCGCCTTGCCCTCCGGGCGGGCACCGGCGGAGAAAACAGCCCTTCGAAAGGACT